TTGTTGTTATTGTTATTATGTACATAGTTATATGAATGTATAATGTGAATAAGTTTTATCTTTCTTAAACCCCTTCTCACTTTTTTATGATTTAAATCTAATACTTTTAATTTAAAATCTTAAATTTTTATCGGTTAAAATACATCTTTGGAGGAACTTGGGTGTTGCAGCTCAACGATTATAAGTCAACTTATAAGGTGCATGGGTTGGGGTTTGAATCCCCACCCCTAAATTATAAACCTGTTAAAAAAAAAAAAAAACATCTTGGGATGTACACACGGTGATATTATTGTTATTTCAATGTGTTGGGGTCTTTAATTGAATGAGTTTTGTCTCAGGCACTTGGAAGAATTGAACTGCAATTTCAACAAGCTGAGCAAACTACCAGACAACATTGGATATGAGCTGGTTAATCTGAAGAAGCTCACAATCAACTCAAACAAGCTAGTTTTCCTACCACAATCGGTTGCTCACCTTACCTCCCTCAGAGTCTTGGACGCCCGCCTCAACTGCCTCAGATCTCTCCCTCAGGACCTCGAGAACTTGATCAACCTAGAAGTCCTCAACGTCAGTCAGAACTTCCAGTACCTTGCCAACCTACCATACTCCGTTGGTCTCCTCATCTCCCTCGTCGAATTGGATGTCAGTTACAACAAGATCACTGCTTTGCCTAACTCGATTGGATGCTTGAGGAAGCTCCAGAAGCTTTGCTTGGAGGGGAATCCCCTGGTTTCACCCCCAATGGAGGTCGTGGAGCAGGGCATAAATGTAATGAGGGAGTACATGAGTGAAAAGATGCATGCGGGGTACAAGAGCCCAACAAAGAAGAAGTCATGGGTTGGAAAGTTTGTTAAGTATGGTACCTTCAATGGGCGTAGGAACGAGAACAATGAGGGGAGGGAGGGCTTCATCATGCCGGAGTACCGCTCCATTGATGGCTTGGCTTCACCCCGGAACATGGGCACGTTCTCCCCACGTCGGCTCTTCTCTGTGCGCACATACTTTACCAGATGAACGCCAAAATTGTTATTTTGAAGGTTATCTTTCTGGCGAGCCTCTATTTTTGCACGCAAATTGAAATTTATAGCTTATTTCGCATGAAGGATTGTTGTTAAGAAACAGGGGCAGCAGGATCTACTTATGCTGCCCATTGTGTGCAGTTCTCTAAAATAAGTCATTCTTCTTTTCCTTTGTTTTGAGAAAAAAAAAAAAGAGAGAGAGGGGAAGTTTTGCATTTTCGTTAAATTTGTAGCGGATGATAGTTGCATATAGCGAGCAAAGCAGGATGATAGATGATATTTTTATGTATGATGAAATTTCTACTCATCATCATTCCATGTAAACCTTCAGTTTATCATCAAACCTTTCAAATTATTTCTCAAATCATTGGGTAAAAAACTCATGAACAGATGCACATGCATTCCTATACAAATATACATCGGTCAGTTAAGTATTATGAGGAGCTTCATAAATCCTAATCCAGGAAAGAAGATAAGATGAAACACAATAAAACCAATAGGCTTTGGTCATTCAACAAATTCTTTACTACTCATTAGATGTCAATAACTAATCAAATGCTTAATATATGTATTGAACGTTAGAAAGCAACGACTATATTTCTCTGCAAAATTCATCTGAATGGTCGAAATCACTTCAAAAGATTTCCCTTCAATGCAGATCCAGATATTTGCAGCTAAGATAAGCTGGAAATAAGAAGCATACTCTTAGCATGCATCCTAACATTCTCACCCTCAATTCATGAAATCGTAACAAGAGTTTCCCCTGATTTATTATCTAGAATGCTTTGAGAGAACGTAAGAAATTTAATGATGCTTCTTCTTCTATTCCTGTGTGAATCACTTCCCTCATCTATCTACACAGATTCCGTATTTCACTCTCTTGAAATATCATTGTTTTCACCCTTTTCCCTCTACTTCTAATGGAATCACTGAATTACCAAAGTAACCAACTAAAAGATCACATCCCATATTGAGATGAAGCATAGAGTGCAAAATAAGCACAAGTAAAACTCGTACCATCCAAAACAGTTAGCATAGTTAGTGTCAACCTTTGTATGAAACTGAGACAGGAAACTAAGATTTGGAGATTATTGGCATCCTAGGATAACTAAAGTAAACTAGTTTGGTACCATCTCAACTGTTTAATCAATGAATCTTGAAATATATCCATTTTCGATTTTACCAGACAGAAAGTTAGAAACCATACGCTCTAGATCAATAAGTTCAGTAGTGCCTCGCATACCTTAAATGGTTCCTAAAAAAAGTTTTTAAATTTTAAAACAAGCAAAGAAATACAAGATATAATCACCAATTATCCAAGCCGATGTTGATTTCAAACTCAAACACTAATAAACATCCACAAAGCAAAGAAATTTAGTAGAAATTCAAAACCTTTTACGCTTAGCTAAATGTTCAACTCAAAGTTTATATCATTCAATAAAAACAAAAGATGATGCATTCTGTTTACGAGCGTTTAATTCATCTAAGATAAGCTGGGATCTTGATGCGAATGAAGAGCATACTCATAACATAGGCAATCACAACCGAGGAGATTCCAGCAGTGGCATAGGAAACCTTAACGCTCTTGGCCCTGTTCTTGTCAAGCGCAAGATCCAAGAGAACGATCCCAATCCCGCCGAGCACAAACATGAAGCCAGAGGAGAGTCCCTCGATAATGTACTGTCCGTTAACGCGGCCGGGAAGGAAGACAACGGGGCGAACGGAGCCGGTGGCGGGGTCTTGGGTGGAGCCGATGCCAGGGGGCTCCACGATAACGTCGTAGACAAAACCGGAGACCACCATGAAGTAAGTGAGCAAGACAAGGGCGAAGACGGTCATGGGGGAAGGAAGGGTGAGGGATGGGAGTTTCAGGCGGAGTCGTGGCGGCCGGAGGAAGGAGTAGGGCAAGACTTTGAGGATGTGGAACAAGGGGTCCATGGAGGTTTGTGCCGCCGTATCCGCTAGGTTTCCCGCAGTGAGGGATTGGGTATCTGGTTTGGGGGCCATCAGAGATGGGATCCTGCTGTTTTGGTTTTCTCGCACTAGGAATTAGGAAGTAGGGATTTGGGAGATGGTAATGACAGTAAAAGGGGTTTGTTTGGATAGCACTATATTGATATGTTTTTATTTTTTCATTTTTTTAATAAATTTTTAATATTTAATAACCATATTAAATTTTAACTAATTCAGAATTAAGTTACGATAAAACCTTATTAAGAAATTTTTTTTAACATTTATTTTTTTATTTATATGACTTGAATTCAAAATTTTATTTAAAAAGTCCTATTTGCACTCTACAAATTTTTTTAAAATTTAATAATTAAATTAATTTTTATTTCGATTAACACTGTTTTATTATTTAAAATTCATGAAAATTTTAAAAATTAATAGTTAAAATTTTTATTGACATATTAAATTTATATTCAAACTCTCTATTTACATCATGATTTTATTAATAATTTAAAATTTTTTATAAATTTCAAATTCTAATTTTTTTATAAATTTTAAATTCTAAAAAGTATTAATTAGAATGAAAATTAGTTTTAGTATTGACTGAAAAAATATATAGGTTGCAAACAGGGGGTTTGCACTGTCGATATGCATGTGAAAATTAAGTGAGTTTATGGATATGGGTGTTGTTACGCAATAAGCTAACTTTAATTATCCTCTCTAACCAATTCGTAGAAAAATATATCCTCCCCTAACCGGCGAGTAGGTCTGGGGTATCACCGGGATACCACTCCAATTAAAAGCCACTACATTAGCCTTTTTTTTTTTACACCTCATCAGGAGTTAACGAGAGAAAAACAAATGATAAATCTAAATTTAATTCACGGCAAATTTAACTTGACAAATCTTTTTAAGATAAAGTTTTTAGCAGGCTTTTTTTTTTTTTTCCAACATCTCCCTAGCCCTCCCTTTGACATCTTTTGCCTTTTTTCTTTCTTTTTTTGTTTCCTTTTTTATTTTATTTTTGTTCACAGTTGCCATATTCTTCTCTTCACCGCATCTGTAAAGGCTCACAAGTCATAGCTATTGCAATTTGAGATTGCAAAAACTAACTATTAACTTTCTCTTGCTTGGGTATAGTTATTTTTAACTAATAATTTGCAATTGCTAAGTTTTACTTGTGCGATTTGCGGATGTATGCTTCTTGGTTGATTTGGTTGAAAGAAGAATAGTTGGAATTAGTTATAAGAAAATTAAACTTTTTCATGCCCACCAAGTGTTTAATGTATTTCTTGAGTAAGATTACCTAAGGGGGACAATTTTTAAGCAAACTTGAGGAAGATTTTGTTCTTTTTCACAAAATACCTATGCTTTTGATGTCTTTCCTAACTTATGGTATAGATGGGGCATTCTTTGTTGGCTGAGACAACTCTATTTGCTGATCTTCCATTGAGTCTAGATATCATCTTGATTGGAGATCAATTTGGCATGTCTTTTCTATGCCATTAGTGATGATACGTAACTTGCAACCATAGCATCAAAAGATGAAATTCTTGCCTTTTCTTTTCATTTTTTTTAGCTTGTTTGTTATGCAAGTGATTGAATTCTAGTTAGATGAGCAACCTATAAACCCTTAGACCAATGATATATGGATTAAGAATGGGACTAAAACATAAAGTTCAAAGAAGCTGGCTTTTCATTGTCTAGGAAACCCCATTCAGGTAGTTAACCATGACACAATGACAATTGGAAGAAAAACAAAAGGGGAATATCAAGATTCAAGAATTGCTCTTTCTTTCTTTTTCTTTTTCTTTTTTTTTTTTTTTTGTCAAACAAATTGTCTTATATCATTTTCACAATGAAATTGCCTTGTGTTGTAATTTTTTTAGAGAATTGCAATGTATCTTGGAATATTATTTTATTATTAATAAAAGTTCATCTTTCTAATAAAAGAGTATTATTTTGGTATAAATTTAGCTCTTGAAATAGATTATCATCTAAATATGAGTAACTAATATAAGTTTTATATAAATTTGAAGGAGTCGTCAAAATAGGATTAACATCTTGAAGCATATCTATAAAGGTTGTATGTGGATAAAAAGAAACACATTGTGAACTAGTACCCCATACATGAAGATGAAGCTATGTGTCAATAAATTAAATAAGATTAAACAAAATTAGACTATAAAGATCAACACCAAATGATGCTTCAACATTGTTA